TGTCATTTACTCGACTGTTTCTTCAGTTCAGCAGGCCATATCTAATCTTCAGCATGATTTTAATTCTATTCAAAGATCTCTAATTGAGTTGAAGCTCATCTTAAATGAGGACGAAACCAAGTTCATGGTATTCACCAAATCTTGAAAAATGGACCCCCTTGATTTTCATATTTGAACGCTGCTTGGTAGCCAAATTGAGCATGTCCCCCATTATAAATGCTTGGGCATTTGGCTGGATGACAAACTGACTTTTCAAATGCATATTGAAAGTTTAACTAAAAAGATAAGGAGTAAAATAGGTTTCTTATTCAGAAATGGGGCCTGTTTCAATTTTGAAAGCAAAAAGAAGATTGTGCACTCAGTAATACTCCCCATGCTTTATTACGATAATTTGATTATAGAAATGCATCCAGTTCTGTTTTAAAACCTTTAGATTCTATTTATCACTCTATTAGATTTATCACTGGTCTTAACTTCTGCACCCACCATTGTGCCGTATACAAGTCAGCAGGCTGGGAGTCATTGAAAGCTAGACAAGAGTACCATTGGTTTTTATTTACACTGATGGACTTTAAAACCTTATAACCAGAATTGTAGCCAAACTCAGATTCAAATTTGTATCCATTTATTGACTTTACCCATAACAACTATGACAAAATGTCAGATAACATCAACAAAAAAAACAAAAGAACAACAAAAAATTTAACGAATCAACAATGACAATCTCATTTAACAACAAAACAAAACAACCTGGACCACCATTCTGGAGAAGGGCTTCTTGGAACTCTGCCCTCGTCCTGGGCGCTGGAGTGCGTTGCGAACCCGCTGATCCAACAGGTCCCACACATGCTCGATGCACTTCATGTCAGGGCTGAAAGGTGGCCATTCCATGACTTGCACAGCATTCTGGGCCAGGAGCTGCTGGGTCACATGTGCTGAGTGAGGTCGTGCGTTGTCTTGCATGAACGTGACCTCAGGGTGGTCTGTGATGTAAGGCACGATGTGAGGTCTGATAACAAGGTCACAGTAGTGGGCTGCATTAAGTTTTCCATTGATTATGACCAGGTCGGACCTCCAGCTGCACCGAATGGCACCCCAGATCATCACCGAGCCTCCTCCAAAGCCATCTGTCTCAGCAATGCAGGGGGCCGCTTATCTCTCACCATGTCATCTGTAGACCCTCTGTCTTCCATCATGTTGGTACAGACAAAATCTGGACTCATCACCGAAGACAACATTCCCCCAGAATCGGTTGGGGACTCGTCTCTGACCATATTCTTCAGCCCAGCAAAGCCTGGTAGCCCTGCGCCGTGCATCAAGCTGCATTCCAACACATGCCCTGTGGGCTCTGATCCCTCGCTCTGCAAGTCGGCAACTCACTGTTCTTCTGCTGATCCCTGGTCTGTGGATTCCTAGGGTATCCTGAGCCGTCCTGGTGCAGGTTCGAAACCAATCTCTCAGGTGGACGAGGCGGATCTGATTGTCCTGGGCTGGGGTCGTAATCCTAGGCTGACCAGGTCGGGGTCGATCATTAGTCGATCATCACGAGCCACAAGGTTTGAGATTGCGGGTTGGCTTACCCCAAAACGCTGGGAGATGCGATTTTGGGATGTTCCAGCCATTCACAGCCCAAATGGCTTGATCACGTTGGGGTCTGGAAAGGCGAGGCATGGCGCATGTAGTGTCTTTGAACAAATGCTCTCAGGTTCTGGCCTTAATGACCTCAAGGATTGTTTTAAGGCATTTGACAGCATTGCAATTGTGATCAGTGAAGCTGGACGAGGTTACATCATTAATTCCTCAAATCCTGCTCCACAGACACAAACAAGGTCATGACCTCACGCACTGTTGTGTCACCTTACTCAAAGACAACTGCATACCAATTATGTAATCATCTAATTAAAGTTCCCCTAACCCAACTATACTATTTCTGTCTAGTCAGACTTATAAGTTTTTAAAGTCCATCAGTATATTTATAAATGTGTTTTAATTAAAATCCCTCCTTATCTAGTTAGTCTTCTTACATGGCGAGTGGGTTTCCATGGGACACTGCCACGGGACTCATTGTGTCTGAATATTCCTCGTATTAGAACAAAACTGTGTTAGACAGCTTTTTATTGTAATGTCCCACACACCTGGAATCAGTTGCAAGATGAACTGAAACTGAATGAATTGGTTCCTTTTGGACATTTTAAAACTTTTATCAAATAATTTTATCAAGAGAATTTTTTTCCCTCTAATGATGGCATTGTAATTTTTTTTTATTGCAAATGTCCTTGTAAACTGTTTATTATCCCCCGTCACAAGTGGATCGGGGGATATTGGAATGGCACTCATCCATCCGGGTTCAATGGGGACAAGTTCTCTCGGCAACTATTGCACCTACGTGGATGAAATTCTGTGGGTGACCAGTACTGATGACCCTACTGAATGAGTTCGACAATTGATTCTGAGAAAATTCATTTTTACAGAGTTATGGCCCTTGACTCTGTTAAAAAAGACTTAAGTGTATGGGTGTTGCAATGGGGACAAGTTCTCTTGGCAACTATTGCACCTACATGGATGAAATTCTGTGGGTGACCAGTACTAATGATCCTATTGAATAAGTTTGACAGTTGATTCCGAGAAATTTATTTTTACTGAGTTATGGTTCTTGTTTCTCTTCGTCGACTTGGTGTATGGGATTTGCAATGGGGACAAGTTTTCTCGGAAACTATTGCACCTACAAGAATGGAATTTTGTATTTGGCCAGTACTGATGACCCTACTGAATGAGTTCGAAAATTGATTCCAAGAAATTCATTTTTACAGAGTTATGGCCAGGGGTGTTACCAAGGGGGGGCAGGGGGTGGGCAGTGCCCTCTCTGAGAAAAGCTCTGCCCATCCAATGAAAACTCAAGATAAAAAACTGATTTACTACTATTTGACAGCAAACACGCGATATCCTACGTGATTCACGGCCGGAGGTAGACAGCCATTAAGAGAGAGCTTTACGAATGCTTCATTTATCTATCACTATGTGTGGTTGGTGGATTCCTTTGTCAGTCTATTCTAATGTGAAACTAACCAATTGGCACTCTCAAATTACTAGGGACCCTCCCATTCTCTTAGACTGCCGTCTTCACTCAGTCTGAGGTCACGTCTACGCTGCCCATATCCATCTTAATCCCTGAACGCTCTATCTTTCCTGATTCATAGTGGTTCAACGGACTCGCCGGTCTCCGCCTTCTTGTCGAACTGTTGCTTACATCCGTTTTCATCGAACCGCTAGTAGCTTGCGGCTAGCGTCTGTTCTATAGCGGGATGTGTACATACACATACATACATATATTACATACATATATTCAAATGTAGAGGCTAGCTAACATATTTTTTTTTCGGCCAAAACATTCTTTAGCTTGACGAAGACGTGGGGCTCTAAATTCGTTGACCAAGCGCAGGCACGGCGAATGGGGGGAGCGCCGCGCCAACGGGGTGTATCCAGGCATATTTTGCAATTTCGTACCTGGCGCAAGTACTCCTCTGTCCAGCCTCTGTCTCTCCTGCCGGCGCAAGTGTGGGCAAAAATCATTATTCAGAGCAGGAAGTACAGTCCCCAAGCTCCACTTCACATGCTGGAAATCACCAAAGCATGGAACGAAATAAAGATCTCAGTCCAATCCTTCACAACTGCTGTAGCTGACAAGCCAAATATTTGCCATAAGAATATAGTCGACTAAAGCAGAGGTTTTTACAAAAGCCAGGATTACGATTATGCACCTTTCAATATTCACTAACGGTAAGCCCCTCCACTGCTCAATGTCAACTTGTTCAAAAGTGCTAACGTTAGCCTGTATAACTGCTAAATGTGTGGGTTTCAGTATGCATCCCGCGTGTGACCGTAGATGGCCACTAATTACATGGCAAACGCTGGTTACTTCACTGGAAAACTAAACTGACTACTGGCTGACAATACTGTTTTTTGTTCGAAAAAAGGATACTTGTTGGACGGATCTTTGAATTGACATATCAGGGGACTGTATAATGTATAATACAGTGCCCTGCAAAAAATGTTCCATAGGACTTCTATGGAATTCTGTAGAACTCTATAGAACATCAATGGAACTCTATAGAACATTTTAGTAGAACAGCATGTTCTATAGGATTTTCCGTGTGTTCTATAGGAATTTGCTAGAAACCTATAGAGCACATCTATGGAAAAGAAAGTCCTATAAGATTATTGCTGTTCCATAAGACCTTCCTATAGAACACCCTAGTTGAAAAACCTGTTCTATAGGACTTTGATGGTCTTTAGGACCTTCTAATAGAACAAAAGCTTAATGGGAAAGACATCATAAATAAGGGTTAAATAAAAATGAAAATCTTATGACTCTTTGCAATACTCTGTCGAAGGGTCAATTTACCTTATGTGTACCCGGGTTCTAGAAGTGAGAGACCGGACTAATGGTATGAAAATGTGCAATATGCAGTGATATCCACTATACTGAAGTAGCAAGGAAATCTTGTCCCTTTTAACTTTAAGGTGTGCTTATAAGCACATGGGGTACCAGGCACATACCAACTCATTGATTCTCTGATCAGACCAGTGATTGACTGACTGACTACAGTATTTCAGTTACGGTATATGAAGACCTCTTTCCATTTTGTCGGCAGCAATTCAAAAATATAAATGGAAGGCATTACAACTTTATTATGCTATAATGGAAAACTTGTGTTCCTCTTTTGCTTACGAAGACAGAATTATGTTGAAATTTTGAGCTTTTGAACTTTTCCGTTAATGAAAAAAATTCAATCAAATTATTCCTTCCCATTTACATGCATGTGATTGCAGATTATATGCAGATTTAGAATTAATTTGAATACAATTTGAGGTCTGCTAAGACTTATTCCCACCATCTTAATACAAGTATCATGGTCACCGAACAGGATTACTAACATGGCGTTCCTTCTCAGCGAAGGCACTCAGTTCCTTCAAATTCAATTCAATTCAAATGAAATTCAAATAGGATAGCTCACTCGGTTAAAGCACTGTGTTGCGGAGCAGAAGTGTCCGGGTTCGAGTCCCGGTCAGAGTTGCGCACAATGGCCATTGCGCTACAGGAATGCAAATTGGGAAGGGTTTGCTGGGAAGGATTAATATAACATGGTTGCTTTGTTTGTTGCCTTCCAGACTCGGGTGGGAATGAAGATGCCAAATTAGAAAAAAAAAAAAGTTCTACAAGAGCTGTTCTGTAGAGATTTCCTATGGAACTGTTTCCTATAGAACTTGTTTTCTATAGGACTCGAGGTACTAAAGTTCTATTGAAATCTATTGAACTGTGTTATAGGATTCCTATAGCACATTTTTTGCAGAGTGGGATTGGGATGATCATCCCGTTCATCCGTCGGGCGCTTTTTTACGAAATGGTGTGAGCATACGTATATCCTCTTGGGTGGACACTTCAGTCTTAGTGCGGCTAGCCACTCCAAGCACCTACTCGCTGGCATCGAGTGTAAACTATAAGGTGCCGGGAAAAGGCAATCTTTCCTAATCACTTTGTAAATAAGGCAGTCTGTTTCCATACAAACGTTTTATGTTTTTTGAGTTATTAGTACAACCAACAATGGAACAAGTGGAGCCTGAACACATTCAGCCAGCCGATGTCTCTTCAGTACAGCGAGCAATGACCGGAAGTAGGAGACCATCAGGGTTCTCGTGGCGGCGCGCATCGTTAGAACAGGAATTAGGTGGTTCAAATGAAATAAGATCATTTGAAACGTCTTTATGCAATTTCATTGCTTCCAATGATCTTATTTCATTTAAACAGTTTGAACAATCATGAAACACATGCATTGCTTCCAACCCCTGAGTAAAGAAAAGCATGAGAAGTCCGGAGTCAGAACGCAGGTGAAACTGATACTCCATGCACAAGGACTTCAATTCTGTGCGAGAATCTCTTACACATGCGTTGATTGAATAATTGCTGACTACAGCAGAGGAACGTAAATATACCACTAAAACTCAGGCGGAATGCATGAGAGTTGACAGGTGTGCGTTATTAATGAAAACTGACCACACCTGTTAATTTTGAGAGTTTTCTGAGCTTTTGTAAAGGTAATTTAAATGAATGACTGAAAACAGGTCATGACCAGTAATTGTTTTCAAGGGATGGGTTTAAGCCTCCTCTATCACCAGTTCACCAGCTGCCAGTGAGATATATACAAAGTTTCAAGATGTTGTGCTTGTTGCATTTTATGCCAATTTAGAGGTTCTTTTTTGGCCCCCCAAAGAGGACAAATGCCCACCCAAGCTTGGCATCCTGGCAACACCTCTGGTTATGGCCCTTGACTCTGCTCGTGGACTTAAGTGTATGGGTGTTGCAATGGGGACAAGTTCTCTCAGCAACTATTGCACCTACGTGGATGAAATTCTGTGGGTGACCAGTACTGATGACCCTACTGAATGAGTTCGACAATTGATTCCGAGAAATTCATTTTTACAGAGTTATGGCCCTTGACTCTGTTCGTGGACTTAAGTGTATGGGTGTTGCAATGGGGACAAGTTCTCTTGGCAACTATTGCACCTACATGGATGAAATTCTGTCTGTGACCAGTGCTAATGATCCTATTGAATGAGTTTGACAGTTGATTCCGAGAAATTTAATTTTACAGAGTTAAGATAAGATTCACTTTATTAAACCCCGTGGGGTAATTTGTCCTCTGCATTTGACCCATCCTATGGTTAGGAGCAGTGGGCAGCCACAGAGCAGCGCCCGGAGCCCAACTCCAGTATTAAAGCCAGTACCTTGGTCAGGGGTACTGGTTGGAGTGTTCCTATGATGCATGTTTTTTTGGGTGGGGGAAACCGGAGTACCCGGAGAAAGCCCACGAGAACACGGGAGAACATGCAAACTCCACACAGAAAGGCCCCAGGCCAGAATCAAACCCATAACCTTCTTGCTGTGAGGCGACAGTGCTAACCACTATGCCACTTCTTGCTTTCCCAGTCAGCAAAGGGATTAGCTGAATGGCCCAGTCTCTGCGCGGCCAATTATAAACAGTTGCCAGTCTTTCAAAGGTTGTGAGGAAATGTTCAATGTCATCGGCTTCTTCCAATTTCAACAACTTTGGCTCTCGGCCATGCACCTGACTTGACCCAGACCCTGGCGGCTGTGTCCTATTTGCCTCCATGTCTAGTTGGAGCTGGGTGATCTGGTGGTTGAGAACGCTGAGCTTCTGTTCCTGTTGAGCATTTTCCTTCTCTTGCTTCTTGTCTCTCTCCATTTGAAACCGCATAAAGGTTTCAAACATCTTGGCCGGGCTGCAGAAACTTGCCTCTTGGGAAGTGGTTGTGTCCACCATGGGCTGGAATTCCTCTTCGAGAGCTCCCCCTGTGGTACCATCCTCCTCTGGAGGCTCTGCTTGCTGCTGCTGCTGGCGTGACTGCTTTGACTGCATCCTGGATCCCTGGACTTTTCTTCTGACACCACATGTAAGGTTGGCCTGGAGGCTGATACACAAAAGCGAGAGGACTCCAATTATGCCATCCAAGTGCAGCTTTATTATTCAGGTGAAAAGGTTCTGACAGCCCCGTGTAGCATTTGTACAGTGCAGGAAAATTGGCCAAATACAAGAAAAAAAAAAAACAAAAACAAACAAAAACAAAAATCAGACTCACAATGGCAGAAACTTATACTTGGGTAAAACAAACAAACAAAAAAAAACAAATCTGCAGCTGTAGGCTATGCCCCCTTTAACCTGGGCCCCGACCAGACTGTAGACCAGCTCCCCTCAGTCACCCTCTGCCAGCCGGCGCTCTATCTCCAGCCTTTATAGGCTGTAACTCCGCCTGCTGAGACAAACTAAGAACCATTAATAAATTAAGACACAATAAACAATTCAACCCGGGCTACAATATTACACATGTCACGTTATTCATTCTACAAAGTCAGCCAGTGGTCTAAATAACCTTTCCATATTACTATGGGCACTAAAATAAGTTCAATTCCAATTATCGGTGAAACACCCCCATTTACTTGCACTTTGAATGTTCCCTGGGGAAACCCCCATAGAAATGGACTTGGGCTCTCCCATTTCCGGTTTGGCAGTGCCGTCTACAACGCAGCAACGGGCTGCAGGGTGAAGTTGCCTTCAGACGTCGACTTCCAGGCTGCTCAGTCTGTCAGGCTGCGTAAACACCGCCCCCAAGTACAGCCAATCAGATTGCGAGCTAGAGTATAACCAATCCGCTCACGAGGCAGCCAATTCAATTCGGAAGCCGTTACTCGAAGTGGGCTTAAGAACAACAATATTGTTAAAAACGAATCGTTCAATCCTCTTTTCTCATTAAAAAGAAACTGATTAGTGAGGTAATGTTAGATATTTCAGCTATTTTGATTATGTTAACCAATGCAAACAAGTGCTTTTTTTTTTTTGTCTTACAGTTAACTTATACACTGAACCTTAGCTAAACAGGTCATACTTGTTAACTGAAACACTTCTACAATATAATTTCAAGTATAACTCTGTTTGAAACATAAAAAATGGCCTACTTGTGAGATATTTTTGTACAATAAGCTGTTTAGCTGAGCTTCTTAAAAACTTCAACTGCCAGTTGCTGTAACGTTAGCTGCCTTCAAGGCTGATTGTAGAGACTAGTGCCGCAAGCTGGTTAGAAAGGCCAATGTTGATTTGATATTGTATAATCTTTAATAGTATTCAGTCAGATGCCTTCAAGGCTGATTGTAGAAACACTAGTGCCTTGCAGGCTGATTGTAGAGACTAGTGCCTTGCAGGCTGGTTAGAAGGCTAATGTTGATTTCGTATTGCATAATCTTTAATAGTATTCAGTCAGATGCCTTCAAGGCTGATTGTAGAGACTAGTGCCTTGCAGGCTGGTTAGAAGGCCAATGTTGATTTCATATTGCATAATCTTTGATAGTATTCAGTCAGATGCCTTCAAGGCTGATTGTAGAGCACTAGTGCCTTCCAGGCTGATTGTAGAGACTAGTGCCTTGCAGGCTGGTTAGAAGGCTAATGTTGATTTCATATTGCATAATCTTTGATAGTATTCAGTCAGAGGCCTTCCAGGCTGACCGTCGAGACTAGTGCCTTGCAGGCTGGTTAGAAGGCTAATGTTGATTTCATATTGTATAATTTTTTTGATAGCATTCAGTCAGATGCCTTCAAGGCATCAGGGCCTGGGGTGGGTGTTCTGGCGGTGCTGCTGCAGGAACATCAAGGCCCGGTGGGTGCTAGGGCGGGCGCTTTTTTAGCGGGCAGGGAGATAGGGCTCCACGACGGCGCCGAAACATCGTTTGAACTCCTAAAAAAAAGTGTAAAAAGTAAAGACGATGTCAATATGCAACAACACCGCTGTCATTTTCTGAGAGGTAACGTGGTTGATTTGAACTGTAGTAAATCTATGGGCTGAAAAATAGAAGATTTTAAATTAGCCTTGAAGGCTCCAACTCAGTAGAGGCCCCCCTCAGTAATGCTGTGGGAGACTCTACTGTCAGCCTTGAAAGGCATCAGAATTGTAAACACACACACACACACACACACACATATATATATATATACAGTTGTATGCAAAAGTTTGGCCACCCCTGATCAAAATTTCTGTTACTGAGAATAGTTAAGCAAGTAGAAGATGAACTGATTTTTGAATGGCATAAATTTAAAAGATACAACACTTTTTTTTGGACATTTTAAGCAGTATTAGTGTATTACTTTTGTTTTGTACAATTCTAGAGCAAAAAAAAAAAAAAAAAAAAAATGAGCACCGTGCAAAAGTCTGGGCACCCCAAAAAGATTTGAGCTCTCAGGTAGCTTTGACTATAGTCTCAGATCGTATTTAGCTTGTTAGGGCTATGGCTTGTTCACAATCATCGTTAGGAAAGGCCAGGTGATGCAAATTTTGAAGTTTAAAAATACCCAGACTTCTCTATCCTTGGCCCAACAATCAGAAGCCATAGGGTCCTCTATGCAGCTGTCTAGCTCTCTGAAAATGAAAATAATTAATGCCCACAAAGCAGGAGAAGGCTATAAGAAGATAGCAAATGTTTTTTAGGTTGCGATTTCCTCAGTTCATAAT